ATCGTGGACGCCCATTAAGTGAAATTAGGGTTTACAATTTTGTAGTTTAATGAATCCCGCGCGGGATTTTGGAGAAACCGCGATTTGCCCATCTCTAATCCAAAGTAATAATAAACTTAATTGAATATAAAGTATTTTCATACATTTGAAGTTTGAATTTAACGTATTTGGAAATGCATATAAACCAAATATAGGACTAAAAAAATGTCTTGACATTTTCACAAAATAAAATGCTTTACATTTAGATCTCGATACTTTGCCTGAGAACAATTCAAAAGTATAATGCTTTACATTTAGATCTCGATACTTTGCATAAGAACGATTCAAAAGTATTTTAGTATACTATATTCACAAATGATTACCAAAAGGGTCTAAACGATTAGAAAAACAAAACAGTATCAGTTCCTGCTACAGAAAGTTTATTTTACATAATATTTGAAAATTATGTACATTATTATTTTGCATCAAAAGTAAATATAAATGTATATTTTGTGAAAATTTATCAAATCAATTATTAGCAAGCATTTTAGATACTGTTTGGTTCGGAAGATTGCGACTCTGTCGCTCCACAATTCAATATCTCGCGTAACGTACGATAAGTAACCTTTTCGAAAGAGGGTGTTAGATTTGGCTAGTGGGCGATTAAGGCTTTCGGTTACTTTGGGTCAACGAATACAAGTAGGGTAAGTCACGTGTACAAGGGCTTGAACAACGATGTTATAGGGGTTCACAGGGTTTATGCCGGGTATAGTGTTAGGGTTTTTATTATGGACGATACAATGCATTGGGACTTGTTTATTGATCAAGCAAACGAGACATACTGCTCCTAAGGGCCATTTCGGCCTTTATTTATAACACTAAATTCGTCGCTTACAAATGCGACTTTGCACTTATCACTGATCTATGTAATATCTTTAAGGATGTGTAATTTCTCCTCTCATCCTCCCTTCTGGATCCGAAATACCATTTCTGGTCACAAATGTAACTTATTACATTTCGTGTATTTTTCACATGATCGGTCACGATATCTGGTATCACAATACACAAGATTGGAGAATCAAATTTTATAAGCAATGACATATACTTATATCATGCTTTGTTATAATAAAGATATTATTGAAGAAACCTTACAGTATTATACAAGTTATTACATAGCAATCAGCTTATAATAAGAAGTTTTATAGAAAAAATAAAAAAAACTACTAATATGAATGGTAATATTATTCATGCAGGTCATATTTATTTTTATTTTTATATTATTTAAATCATAATTGAAATAAATTATGTGTAACAAATTATTTATTATTTTAAATTCAAAGGTGATTTACTTAGTAAGAAAAAACTTTTTAGATTAGAGCATATTACATTTAATTCTATAGTAAAATTTACTTAAATTTTTTCTAGTTAATAGATGGATTATCTATTAATATTAATCTACACAAATGGTTAATATTTATTTAAAAGTTAGGAAAAAATAAAATTATTAAAATTTAGATAATATAACTAAAATTAAAAAGCAACTTTTTAAAATAAATAAATTACTAAAAGTTATTAATCATATAACTAAAATTAAAAGGCAACTATTTAAAATAGATAAATAACTAAAAGTTATTAATTATAACTATTTAAGAATTAAATATAACAATAAAGTATTGTATACATAACAATATAATTATATATTTTATATTAGTATAAATAGATTTACTGTGACTGTAAAATGTGATCCCGAAAACATATAGAAGAAAAGATCGATATGGTGCAGTAACAATTAATGGTGTGATGGTGAAATTTGGTTAATGATTTTCTAACTTGCAAGTGAGGTCAATAATAGTGGAAGCCAGGTTTTGGTTCTAGTAAATGTTTTTAGATTTGTTCTTTCGACACCCTGATTAGTAGGCTTTAATCAAGGCATAAATTGACTTAGTTCAAGAATAGGGTTTCTTCTTGGATGTGCAGGGGTCACAGGACTTGTTCAGAAGCTATTTACTGTATTTTGAGCTTGGGTTTATTACTAATTCAACACTTTTGTTACTATTTATGGTCTCTGGTTCAATTAACTAATACTATCTCTAGTATAGTTCTCTATTTTTTAGGTGTGCCTAAGTTTCAATCGTCTTTTGAATTCAGAATTTCAGGGTTATGGGTCACGGAATCACAATTTAGTATGATTACATGTGTAAGTTTATTTAGCAATAGGGACAATCACAAATTTAATCAATTTGATAATTTTTATATATATAAGGGATCGATTACTAATAAGAACTTTCTCTCTTTTTCTTTTAGTAAACTATTAATAACAGGTCTTTTACTATTTACAGAGACAAGTCAAACATGATAACATGAAATACTACAAGCGTATAGGTACTTAAGGGACTACTACTATTATTATAGCATAGTTTCGAATTCAAAGGGAGTTATCTTTTATTTTGATCAAAGATTGAGGCTTTATATACATTCTTGTTTTTATGTCTGTTTTACTAACACTTGTGCCCTTTCTTCCCTTTATACTATTACTGTTGCTACTGTCAGTGCTAACATAGCTGTTATAACTGTCAGATATGATAGCTATGTCAGCTGCTTACTAAATTTGGTTTAGGTCAACTCAAGCCACCTTGGTCATCGATCTTAGCCAAATTTACCTTTTACAATTCTCCCATCCTTGTTTTCGAGTTCTATGAAAATAACATATTCTATAGTACTAACTTGAAGTAAATAATAAGAATTCATATATTCAAAATAAAAAGAGATTCTGATAGAAAAATAAAATAAAATTTTTTTTTTTTTTTTGTATTTAGAAAAGGAATTCGCCAAAGTCATCCTCTACATAAAAGTCTGTTAAGGGTTCTTCAACTGTTGGTGGGATGGAGCTTGCTGAAAGTGTGATCTGTAGTAGTTGCTGGTAGTCTTGAAGCGAAAGATGAGCAATTTAGACAAGTTTATATAGGTAGTACAGCAAATTTGTTCTATCTTGAAATGTTCAAACACATTGTATACTCGAATGATGGCAGTATAGTAATGCCTTGTCATTTTAGAGTTTTGCAGGGTTCATTGTGCTGGTGTCAATTGTTTGATTAAGAAGCCTAAATAATAAACATAGGTTAAGGCTCTATGTGGTTTCCTATGCGAGTAGTTCGTAGCATAGATTGGTAAACCAAGTTCATTTTTGCTTTAATAGTGTCTGTTTTTATATATGGTAGGTGAATTGGGACTACCGCTATTGGTTAAGTTGACAGTAGGTCATTAACGAGTTGGTCAACATTTGTAGACATTATGAAATTGGGGCATTAAACTTGGTTTGCTCAACTGGTGTCTATTTATAATTTTTCTGTCATGATGGGTCTTTAGTAGTCTTTTATTGAACGAATTGACTAATACCTTTCTTTATAACGTTCTTAACTTCTATATACTATTTCCAAGAAAGTTATATACATAATAAAGTCCTTTTCATTGTGGGACTAGCTTATGGCTTCACATTCCTATTGTTCTTGCATCATAAGCTCATACTTTATTTCCTATTAAAAAGTCATTATTGTTTTTTATCTTCTCATCATGAATTAATTTTTTCTTTTGTTGATTTTCACAAATTTGGCTCATAGCTTGGTCATGGGTTTCTTGTAGATCATGCTTTAAGTTAAAGATCCTTTGTATAAATGTGTTACTTAACAATTCATTTGATGTACTTGGATGTATAGGTTGGTTAGTCTCCCTACTATATACAAGAAAGAATGGCATCAATTATGTGGAACTATGCCTGGCTGTTCTGTATACAAATAGGACAGGTTGTATGTATGCATTCCATTTTTTCGAATGTTCTACCAATTTAGCAAGTGATGTACAGATCAACTTGTTAAATCTCTCAACTAAGCCATTTGTCTGGAGATGGTACAGCATCGAATAATGGTGCTTGATTTGAAACTTTGCCAACAGATTATTGACCATCATGTTTTCAGAAATGCGATTCTCAGTCTATAAGAATAATGTTTGGGCATCCATGCCTACAAATTATTTCCTCATAAATAAAACTGGTGACTTCCTCAGCTGTGTCATGTTGTATAGCTTTAGCTTCTGGCCAGTTCGTTAAATAGTCAGTTGTGATAATAATATATCTGTTTAATTTAGGTGTTATGGGTAAAGGGCCCATAATATCTATACCGATTCGACTAAAGGGTGCTCTTACTAGTATGGGATGTAGAGGCTTATTCATCCTTTTACTTCCTTGTTGCTAGCACTTTACACAAAATTGGATGTATTTGCAAATATCTTCATACATTTGCAGCCAATAATAGTGGCATCTCAACTTGTTAAAGATAATTTTCTTGTTCAGATGCACCTCTAGTGGATGGTCATAGAGTTGGAACAATATTGATTCAATTTCATGTTCCTGGAGGACTTTCAATAACTTATCCTTGTCATGTTTGTCCTTCTTATATAATAGACCCTTTTTGATAACGAAATTTTTGTTGTGCAGCTCCAACTTGTGATGCTGTGTTTTATTAAAGTCTAGTAGTACTTGTCTGTGCTGGATATAGTTCTTCAAAATAAGGTATTCTCGTAAATCCATCTTGTTTGTCTTTCTTTTATTTCTTTTACTTTATTTTTATTTATATTGCCAGGATACCAACAACCTGGACTGAATTTACTTTAACGTTAGGTTTGGATCATAATAAATATTGTTTTTTCTATTATTATGTTCTTGTTATCTTTACACCTTTCACTAACTGTTTAGAATTATTAGTCATCTTTTTTAATTCCAATTCTGGTTCAGTCAATAGAAGTTCTTAGCTAAAATTGAATTGTGTCGAGCTTTTGTATCTTGCAAGATTAGCTCAAGTTTCAAGCTCCTTGTCATTTATATTTGTATTTTTGCTTGAATAGAGCCCCACACTCGCTCTATCCTATTTTGACTAACTATACTCTATCATCAGGTCTAAGCTCGAATATATATAATAAATTTATTTTTTATTTTTTTTTTTTTACTGGTTTCACTAATGGTTTAATTATTATTCCCAATCCATATTTGTGTCATCGTCTAAAGGTAGTGACCATTCTGGGTTTTCAGAATCAATTATGGCACTATAAAACATTTCTTCTTCGATGTTGATGTTTCACCAACATTTGTCATGACCCAGGTGAAAATTGTGTACATAACTAGGATTCCATACTTCATCTTTATTAGACAAACCTATTCCCTCATCTGCCTATTGTAGTTGGTCGATTTTATACTCCTCTGCAATGTTTATTTTACTGCATTTGTCACTACTAACTTCAGGCTTACTAAAATATCTATTCCGATATGCCCAAGTTGTTTCCCTATAAAACTTATCATTCAACTGCTGTATAAGCTCTCTGTGACATCTTTCTTGTTCAAAGTACTTGTTTAAGTTCTTTTTGTCCTACTAGTCATCCAGCAGGTTGTCCCAAGCTTCATTTTTGTCCTGCTGAGGTTCAACATCATCTTTAAATTCTGAGAACCAGTTTACTAAGATTGGTTTCTCACTGCTTTCTTCTGGTAAGTAACTTTCAGCAAATGTTTAAAGAGTTTCTGCTTCTTCGAATAGATTAGTGACTCATATTTGACAACTTGCTGGTTCCACAACATTGGTGATTTGTTTAAGAGTGTAGAAGGTCTTTCTACTATTCTGGACAGTGAGTTAGCATTATTATGCTTTTATCCAGCCTGATAGATGATGGTAAAATTGTAAGGCTGGAGCTTAGTATCAAGCATGCTTTTCTTCCTTTTGGTACAGTGTTCTGCAGCCATTTTAGTGCAGCATGATCAGTAACAATAATGAATGACTTGTACCCTAAGTAATGATGGAAGTGTTTCACAGCCCAAATTACAGCATAACACTCCAATTCAGTTGCTGTGTAGTTTCATTCTGTTCTGGTTAGAATTTTACTAGCATAGGCGATGGTGTATTTCTTTTTATTCTCATCGTTTTGGACTAATATGGTCCCAAGACCAGTCCCAGAGGCATCCGTATGTAAATAAAAAATTTTATCAAAGTTAGGATATCTCATTACAAGGGCTGTAGTTAGGTGGGTTTTTAGCTTTTTGACACCTTTTCTTGTTTCATGCCTCATTCATATTTTATATTTTTTTCTAACAATTTGTGTAAGAGCTTGACCATGGCTGCGAAATGGTTGATGAAATGTCAATAATAAGAGGCCAGCCCAATGAAGCTTCGCAACTGCCTTAGGTTAGTTGGTGTTGGAAATTCTTGTACTTTAACTATGTTTTCTTAGTCAGGTTTGATACCATCTCTTCCTATCACATGACCCAAGAACTGAAATTTCATGCTGAACAAATTACATTTTTCTGAGTTTAATTTTAATTCTGCATCCTTAATTCTTTTTAGCACTTGTTGGAGGTAGTTCAGGTGCTCATGATAGGTTTGAGAGTAAATTATAATATCATCCAAATATATCATGATAAATTGGCCAATATATTCACTTAGAGTTCTGTTTATGATCTTTTGAAAAGTCGCAGGTGCATTACAGAGTCAAAAAGGCATAACATTAAATGCAAATACCTTCCGTTTGATTATGAAGGCCATTTTCTCTCGGTCTTCCTCTTTCATTCTAATCTGCCAGTATCTACTGGCCATGTTAAGATTGAAAAACCAATTTGCATTGCTGGAAGTTTTCAATAGGTCATCTATCCTAGGTAGCAGATATGTATTCTTCTTGATAATCATATTAAGTTTTCTATAGTCAACACATAAGCACCACTTTCTATTTTTTTTTGGCACGATTACCACAAGTAAAGTCCAAGGGCTCTTAACTTCATATATTAATCCATTTTCTAGTAGCTTTTCTATTTTTTTATCTAGAAATTCCTGCTCATCTGGAGTAATATGATATGCTGGTTGTCGGATTAGTCTGACATCACCAGTATTAATTTCATGTTGGATTTCTAAGGATCACCCTAACTGATTCAGTTCAGTTGCAAATAACCCACTAAAGTCTTCCAAGATAAGTGTCACTTCTTGTTGTTATTGGTTATTCAAAGTGTCTATGCATACTAACCTATCTATTGTTTCTTTAAGGAATAATTTAGAACAACCATCTGTTTCTGGGGATGGTAGTTCTTCTATGGTGTTAAATAGATTGCTGGACTATACACATCCTTCTAAAGGTTTGTGTATAGTTGTTGTTCTTTTTCTGATATGGTATCATTTATATAATAACCTTCAACTTCCTTAACATCATTCTCACTTTTATATATATCGAAGAAGTCCTCTCCATCACTACTATACGTTTTATGCTCTTGTGGTATTTCTAACTTGTTGTCTCTTGTCTGATATATAGGAATCTTAATAGTTTTTCATAGATACCTAAAGATTAACTTTTGTTTGTCGAAGTGGATATGAGCCCTAACTTTCTGAAACCGATTGATGCCTAGCAACAGGATTTTGTCTGGAGAGTCTATTATTTGAAAACTAGTAGGAACTATTATGCTTCTGATCATTAATTTGGCATTTGTTACTTTTCCTAGGGCTCTTTGTCGATCACCATTTGCTATGACTACTATGGTTCTTGAATAGTGAAGCCTAATTTGGTCATTAATTTTTTGGACATAATACTAACTGCAGTACCTGAATCCAATACTGCTAATATTGGGTTGTTTTTAACCCAAACATAACACTTTGCTGCAGTAGTTTTGACATTTGGTAGAGGGTTCATAAAGTTGGATTTTGTAGCAGTAATAATTAGGCGTTATAATGCTTGAGCCAAGTTGCATCATTGAGTTGGGATTTGAAGCATTTGGGTATATGTAGTATTGGCCTTTTAATTTAAAAGGTCTTTAGCAATATTATATTATAGAGTTGAGTCTATTACTAAAGGGTTTTGCAACATCTGGGTCAGCTAGCATTTCCTTGTTGTGACTAGGCTCTTTCTTGTTTCTTGTTGTTAGCTTCTATCAGGGTTGGTTGAGTGTCTTAACCTTGTTCTTGAGTATTCTACTTCTTAATCTTTCTTCCCAGTTTGGTTCAGTTCTTTGTTCAGGCTTTTCTTGATGGTTTATAGTATAGAGCTGGTGTCGTTAGGTGTGGCATTGTTGTGTAGATGCAAATACCTTCTCCTCAGTTTTCTCAACATATAGGTCACAGAGATTAACATTTCCAGGGCATTGTAATATTTGGTTCAGGTTCGTAATGAGCCTTTTGGGGTTCTAGTATCATTTCAAAAGGCAGTTCGTGGCAATGTGACCTCTTTCACCACAGTTATAACACTTAATACCCCCATTTGGTTGTCACAGCTGGTGTTGCCTGATTCAGGCAGGTTGGGTATTGATTTCAGCTTTTGCAGCAAGGGTAGTAGTTAATATTTGTTGCATTCTTTGTATGAGGTTATCTAATAATTGGTTGGTAGAGTCTTTTTCTTTTTTTCTTTCTTGGTAGTACTTGCTAGCTTCTACCTTTTAGGCTTCAATAATAGCATCATCCAGGTTTTTTGGTTCTATCATTGACATAAAAGAAGCTATTTTGCCCTTTAACTCTTTCATAAACATTCTTACTATGTAAGTACTTAAGAGCTTGCTTTCAGAATCGACCTTTTTTAACAGTCACTTAAATTTATAAGCATACATATCTACTTTTTCATTCTCCTTTTCCTACAAGGAATTGAGGTCTACCTGCCACTTGTGATGCCTTTCTGGGGTTATGAAATATTTTACAAAGGTATAGATGAAGCTGTTTTCTGGTGCATCTTTATTGTCCCAGACAGTTAATGATTTTTTATTATTGTTATACTAATCTATAGCAATCCCAGTTAGATATCCAGAGATGATAGCTATCCATCTTTTATTGGGCCAATTATTGGCATTAGCCACCCTTTCAAACATGTCTATTCATTCAATCAGGTCCTTATCTTCTTTTTCATTGAAGGTCTTTATATGTACCCAGTTAGTTTCATAACCTTGAATGTTGGTTCCAATAATGTCATCTTGGGCTACTTCTGCTATGGCATCTCTAAAGGCCTTCACAATGTCTTTCAAAATGTTGTGAATACTTTCTTATTGTGCTTGGAACTAGTATATATCAGATTTTTCGAAATTGAGAAGCTGTGATACCTCAGCATTTTCATTGATCAAACTTGAGGGTTTTTCTAAAGTAGGTACTGATTTACTCTTATTATTTTTTTGAGTTTGAGACATTTCTCTAATTAATTAAAAATATATATATATATATTTTTTATATGGATATATTTAAATTAAAGGTATAATGTATTGATTTGTTGGAATCTCACAGTCACTACCAAATTGTGATAGTGAAATTCAGTTAATGACTTTCTAACTTGCAAGTGAGGTTGATAATAGTGGAAGCTAGGTTTTGGTTCTAGTAAATGTTTTTAGATTTATTCTTTCAACACCCTGATTTGTAAACTTTGATCAAGGCATGAATTAACTTGGTCTGAGGATAGAGTGTCTTCTTGAATGCTGCAGGGGTCATGAGACTTGTTCAGAAGCTATTTACTGTATTTTGAGTTTGAATTTATTACTAATTTCAACACTCTTGTTACTATTTATAGTCTCTGGTTCAATTAACTAATACTATCCCTAGTATAGTTCTCTATTTTTCAGGTGCACCTGAGTTTCAATCATCTTTCGAATTCAGAATTTCAGGGTCACGGGTCACAGGATCACAATTTAGTGCGATTATGTATGTAAGTTTATTTAGCAATAGGGACAATCACAAACTTAATCAATTTGATAATTTTTATATATATATGGGGTCGATTACTAATAAGAACTTTCTCTCTTTTTATTTTAGCAAACTATCAATAACAGGTCTTTTACTATTTACAGAGACAAGTCAAACGTGATAACATGAAATATTACAAGTGTATATGTATTTAAGGGACTACTACTACTATTATAGTGTAGTTTCAAACTCAAAAAAAGTTATCTTTTATTTCAATCAAAGATTGAGGCTTTATATACATTTTTGTTATTATGTCTTTTTACTAACACTTGTGCTCTTTCTTCCCTTTATACTATTACTGTCATTACTGTCAGTGCTGACATAGCTGTTGTTAACCTGTAGTTTTTCCTTTAACTACAGTGATATCAGAAGCTGCTCAACTATAGTATGATGACTATAACTTG